ATCCTGAAATTCAATTGGTTTGCGCCACGATAAAGTCATGTGACTGGAAAATTTTTTGTGGTATAATTACATAGGTTTCTTACGGACACGTACCAAAATAATAATTTTTTTGATTTAAAAAACGATCCGGCAAGACTTTTGTACTAAGTTAACCTCCTTAACCATTCTAATAAAACTTGTTCTCCTGGTCTTTCCAGTTCTAATGGTGGGATGATTATTAAAATTTGCCCAGTAGAACCGGAGAAGTGACCTTTCGAAATTGTGCAACGTTCTATTATACAAAAACATCACATAAACTTCATGAGGCTATACCTCCGGTTCTAGTGAGTTGATTTTTAATTAGTTAGCAATATAAAAAGTACTCTAATTTAAGTTCAGTACGCGTTTATTATAAAGACTATAGTTTACATAAATAATCATTACATATGCGCTAGAGATGTGACCCGTTATTCACTGAATCGAAATTTATTAATAAATCTATTGAATATTCACTGGATTTTATTAATAAATTTCGATTCAGTGAATAACGGGTCACATCTCTAATATGCGCAGAGTCAAATTTTTACAGTGAGGTATATAAATTAGCGTTTGACTAATACGCATATATAAGGAATTATCGAATTAATTTTATAATTACTTAAATTTTGCTTATTGTAGTTTGAAATTAATATAAATAATATTTCAAAATTAATTATGTTAAACTTCTGTTATTTTATTAAAAAATCTCAATTTTGAAAAAATTTCGATTTGCCATTTATAAATAAATTACATCAAAAACTAGACATCAAAAGTTATGGCCCCTCATAAATCGCGTAAACATACTCGCTCTAATCATCTATCAGCGGAAGAAAATCTTGATAATTTCTTCAAAGAACACGTTAAATATTTACAAAGAGAAAAGGCGAGAGTAGAAAAATTCGAACGGGGTCTTTCATGGTAATTGACTAAGAGATCTCTTTTTGAATTATAACAATAATGAATTTATATAAAGTTAGACCTCTCTAAGTGCACCCTCTATAAGTGCACACCCTCTTTAAATGCACGCTCAAGTGCTGGGCCAAATATATACCTGACCTCCATAAATGCACATTTTCTTATTACTGTATTCTCTATATGCACGTTATTAAAGTGTGGTCCCAAGGGCGTGCACTTAGAGAGGTCTTACTGTAATATGAACTGGTTTTAAGTTATTATTATTGTAATTCAGAATATAAAAAATTAAATTGGTATTTAAGCCAAATTTGGCATCAATCAGACACTAACGCGCGCTAATTATTAACTTAATTTAAGTTCAATTCCGGTTTATGTAAAATTAGCCTTCAAAATCAACCGAGACCCTAATTACGTCATATTACAATTTATAAATGTATATTATTTTAAAATTATATATAATATTAACTAAACTTTGAATTCTTTGCAAGTCACCTATTTTCACGCGCGTTTTTATTTAATATATGGCTCAACTTATTTAAATACTGTATAATGGTAATTAAGTAAATAAAATTCATCGCTTCCGAACAAATTCATTACAATAACTATGACTCGTACAGCTGAGTATAAACGACATCTCCGTTCCAATACTTTCGACATTGAAAAGGCTACAATCGTTTTTCTTGAAGGGCATGTGAAATATCTTCAACGTAGATTTAAACATAGAGAAATAAAAATTAAAGAACTTGAATCACATCTAAAAGATCTCGATAAACTCAAAGAAGATGTTATAAAACTTAAAAACCAAATTGATAGTTTATTAAACGTAAATGAGGCGTTAAGAAATAAAAGTGCTGATTTAAGTAGTG